TTGCTGATGACTGAGAAGAACTCATGAATGATGCAGAAGTTGTGGTCTCAGCAGAATTAAGAGTGACGGTAGGCACTGAAGGACTGGTGATTGGTGCAGAGATTTTTGGCAACACTAGTATTTCTGTTTCCTCCTCCTCTAGAGGTTTAGAAGCAACTGCTCCTCTCATCTTATCAGTACCACCTCCTCCAGAAGATGAGCCATCTGCTGCAGGGATACTGAAATTTGGTTGTGGAGAGCCACTTTCTGGTTGTGTAGTTTGTCCAGGTATCACATTGTTTTCATTTCCACTACTGTCCTTTTTACCTACTCTTTGACCAGTCTCCCTTAATTCATTAGATGGGGTCAGAGGTAGTTTAAAAGTAACAGCGTTTTTTGTTTCTGTGGAAACCGGCTCCAGGGTTTTGGGGCTCTGAAGAGTGAGATATGGAGAGCTCCCCTGGGCTCTTTTGGCCTGCATGTCTGTGATATCTGTCCCACTCCCATCAAGAGACTTCAGAGAGGAAAAAACATGGGGAACTCTTTCCGCATTTGAAAAAGAATTTGACATCTCTAGAAAGTGCAGTGCCCTGCGAGCTGTAAAACTGGTTACATTATAAGGCTGCACATGGAGTGGCTTGGCTTTCATCTTTGTGGCTGGCACCTGATACGGTGTCTTTTGTAGTTGAGTCAGCCTTACAGCAGCTGCTGCCCCACCATGTCTTTTTCCAGGAGAATTTCTGAGTTGACTTGTTTTAGGATTTGAGAAATTGGCAAGCGAGGGTGACAGGATTCCAAAGCCAGACAAGTTGCGTGCTGTTTTTCGGGTGGTGGTGGCGCTATGTCGTGAGACAGCATGAGCACGTTCAGCCTCGGACACCCAAGGTGGCAATGGAGTGTTGTGTGAAACTACTCTGTGTCTATCAGAGGCTCTGGAAGAACAACTAGTGGTTGAGATGTCGAAACCCTGAGAGAGAGGATCTCTCATTTCTGCACAACTGCCAATTGGGAGTGCATTGGAAGCAGTACTAGGTGCTGAAGGTGCTTCTGTATTACCGACTGCTGGCTCAGGAGCGTTATGGCTGTCACTGATACTAGAGTTGTCCTCCTCTACATACATGACGCAATCATCTGTATTTTGTGACCGGTGTGCTACCTCGTTTGTGTCTGTTGAGCAGACACATGGATCTTCATTCTTACTGAAGTATGTCCATAGCCACCATAGCACAAGATTCTTAATAGAGTCTATAAGGCTGCTAAGAATGCCCTGGCGCTGTGGTGGCCGCTGCTGGTAAGGCTTAATTGGTCCCTGATACCAAAGTCGCCCCCAGATCGTTCCTCCACCCCCAAGACCACGACCACCACTGCCTCTGCTGCCTCCTCCCAGTGCCCCAGCCTCGCAGCTGCAGCAGCCTAGGTCTCGGCAGCAACAGCTGCCTCCTCTTCCACCACCACCACCACCACGGAGTCCCACTCCCCTGATTCCTTCAGACTCCTCCTCCTTCTTCATCCGCTCCTCCTCCTCTCTTGAGGACGACGGCTCCTCTGCCTCCTTCATCCGCTCCTCCTCCTCTCTTGACGACAAAGGCTCCTCTTCCTCCTCCTCCTCCTCCTCCTCCTCCTCCTCCTCCTCTTTCTGCCCCCAAGTCCATGGTGGAGACATGGTGGCTTCCCACTCGCCACCTGGGAAGGGTGGAGTGGGGCGGGCAGGCGGTGGTCTTAGGGCCCCCTTCCCTGTCCTACCCAGTACATAAGTCCGCACAAGCTGCCCACACAGTAGTCAGACACACGGCACACCACGAAGCCCCGCAGGGAACAGACACGGAGAGGGTGAACACGCTGGCAGTGAAGCAGCAAATGACAGCTGGCCAGGCCAGGATCTGGCTCCAGAACGGCCGCCTCTTGTGACCTCACAGCTGTTTCTCTCGGTCGCTATGGCGATGTGCGGAGGAGGGGACAGCGCGCACTGCCCGCCCTACCTGACCAGCGCCTTGTGCAGTGTCTTCTTGGTCCCGTTTACTTTTTTTTCATTGCTGCAAGAGGCAAAGCATCGAGAAACATGTTGGGAATAATCGTGGAAATAAAATCAATCACATGCTAGACTCCTTCAGAATTATGGGAATGGAGAAGACACCTCTAAATATGGTTAGAGGCAGGAAGCAAGAGCCTTCCTTTCCTTTTCTCTTCTTTTTCTTCTTCTCCTTCTCCTCCTCCTCCACTTCTTCTTTTCCTCCCCCTTCCCCTTCCGCCTCCTCTTCTTCTTCCTTCTCCTTTCTTCTTCTTCTTCTTCCTCCTCTTCCTTCCTTCTTCATTTTTTTTTTTTTTCCTTGTACCAGGGATTGAACTCAGGACCTTGGGCTTGGGAGGCAGGGACGGCGCCACTGAGCTAAATCCCCGGGCCTGGGCGTTCTACTGTTAAACAAATTACTGAGAGTGTGGAGCAGAGAAGTGTTGTCATTATAAAGTGTTTGTTTCTTTTCTTTCTTGCTTTTTTTTTTGGTACCAGGGATCAAACTTGGGTCCTTCCGTTTGCACAGCAGGTGGTGAAACCACTGAGCTAAATCCCCGGCCCTTTTTTCTTTCTTTTTTGAGACAAGGTCTCCCTATGTAGTTCAGGCTGATCTTGAACTGGCTAGGCGGCCCAGGCTGGCCTTGAACTCATGGCAATCTCCTGCCTTAGCCTCCTGAGTGCTGGGATTATGGGCCTGTGCCACCACACCTGGCATAATGTGTGTTTTAAAGAAGTCACTCCCGTTCAAAGTGGAGAACAGATTTAAAAACAAGAGTAGAGCTCGGCATGGTGGAGCAGGCCTGTAATCCCAGCACTCTGGGAATTTGAGGCCAGAAGATCCCAAGTTCAAGCCCAGCCTAGGTAACACAGTGACTTAATGTCTCAAAATAAATTTAAAAAGTAATGGGGATATATAGCTCACCGGCCCTAGTTTTCAGTGCCCAGTAATACACATGCATGCACTCCTACACACACACACACACACACACACACACACATAAACACACACACACTTTTTTTGAAAGCAAGAAGGCAATTGAGAGGCCAGACATGATTTTCCTTAAAACCACAATGATCAAGGAGGAGGAAGTAGATTGGGACAGATGCTGGGCATGTTATAAAGGATTTGAAGATAGACTGATTATGTAGTAGTATAAGATGTCAAAGCTGACTTCAAAGGTTTAGGGTGGAGACGCTTGAAAGATGTTGCCTTTCCCTGACAGGAAAACAAATGTGAGGAGACAAGGTTGGATTAATATTTTTAAAAGGCACAGGCTTTGTTTTGTTCTTATTAAGTGTAAGCTTCCTATTCCTTCCAATCTGGTTACCTGTCTTTCCCTGCTAGTGAACTTTGATTGTCCAACTTTAATTTTCTTGATGTCTTGATGCTCTTTCTGGAATTCCTGCAATTTGGATAATGGACCTCCTTGACTGAATCATCTTGCCTCCTACCTTACATCTTGAATTGCTCTAACATTGAAAAATTTTTGCAACACTACTTTCCAGTGATTTTGTTGACTTTTTTTAATGTCTGCTAAAATTTTAAATTTTTTGGTATGTATTATTTTGTTAACAGGAATATTTTCTCCAAGATTTCCATGATTGTAGCATCTTGTCTTTATAGATATAATGTCTTGCTTTTCATATCTAAAGATTTTTAAGAGTAGTTGGTACAAATGTTCTCACTGGCTCATTTGCTTTTTCTAAATTGCTTCATTTGGCCAGGGATTTAGCTCAGCGGTTTCGCCACCTGCTGCAAAAGTGCAAGGACCCGAGTTCGATCCCTGGTACCAAAAAAAATAAATAAATAAAATAAATTGCTTCATTTGTGTTCTTCTTTTCATAGAGGCTTTCATCAGATCACTTGTAATTTGAATCTTAGATATCCCCCCAAAGGGCCATGTTAACGGTTTAGTCCTGGGCTCCTGGGCTCGGTGCTACTGGGAGGTGGCAGAATACCATGCTGTTTTTATCACATGACCTTTGTTTTACAGTTTCAAGTTGGGGATTGTGATACCCCTTATCTTATCTTTCTTGCCTAAAATTGCTTTTGCTATTCTAGGTCTCTTCTTGATCCAAATGAATTTTTGACTGTTTTTTCAAGTTCTGTGAAATATATTGCTGGAATTTCAATTGGGATTGCACTGAATCTATGCAGCAGTGTTGGAAGTATGGCCATTTTCACTATATTGGTTCTTCCTACCCAAGAACAAGGGTTGTCTTCCCATTTTCTGATATCTTCTTCAATCTCTTTTTTCAGAGTGCTGTAGTTTTCAGAGTAGAGGTCTTTGATTTATTTCATTAGGTTGATTCCTAGATATTTCTCTTTTTGGGATGCTACTGTGAAAGGAGTTGTTTTTCCAGTTCCACTCTCAGTGAGTCTGTTGTTCCTGTACAGGAAGGCAATTGATTTTTGTGTGTTGACCTTGTATCCAGCTACTCTACTGTATTTGGTTATTAAGTCTACAAGACTTTTAGTGGCATTCTTGGGGTCTTCTATGTAAAGTATCATGGCATCTGCAAGTAATGACAATGTAACTTCTTCATTTCCTATCTTTATTACTTTTATTTTTTTCTCTGGTCGAATTGCTGTGCCTAATGTTTTCAAAACTATGTTGAACAGGAGTGGTGATAATGGACATACTTGTCTTATTCCTGATTTCAATGTGAAGAATTTCAGTTTTTGATCATTTAGTATGACTTTGGTTATTGTCTTTTCCTGGATGGCTTTTATCAAGTTGAGATAAAGGCCATCTATTCCAATTATCTGTAGGGTTTTTACCATGAATGGGTATTGGATTTTGTCAAGTGCTTTTTCTGCATCAATTGAGATGATCATATGGATTTTGTCCTTGGCTCTATTAATATAGTATATTACATGTATTGATCTGCATATGTTGAACCATCCCTGCATCCCTGGGATGAATCCCACTTGGTCAGGGTGTATAATCTTCTTGATGATCTTCTGCATTCTATTTGCCAGTATCTTATTAAGGATTTTTGCACCTATGTTCATTAGTGAGATAGGCTAGAATATATAAGGAACTTTAAAAAAAATCAGACCTCCAAAATTTAAAGACCCAATCCAAAAATGGCCATGTGAAAGGAAAAGACATTTCTCAGATAAAGAAGTAGAAATAGCAAATAAACATGTGAAAAAATGTTCACCATCACTGGTCATTCAAGAGATGCAAATGAAAACAATGCTGGGATTCCACCTCACTCCAGAAAGAATGGCTGCTATCAAGAAATCAATCCATGACAAATGCTGGCAGCATTTTGGGGAACCCTTCTCCACTATTGGTAGAGTGTAGACTGGTGCAACAACTGTGGAAATCAGTATGGAGATACCTCAAAAAACTAGGATTAGAGGTCTCATTTGACCCAGCTATTCCCATGCTGGGTATCTTCCCAAAAGAATTAAAACAATCACACCACAGTGATATATGTGCACGCATGTTCACAGCAGCACAGCTAGTAATAGCTAAAGCTTGGAAATGCCCCAATTGCCCATCAACTGGAGACTGGATGAAAAAGATATGTTTTTTTAATTAAATGGTACTACTCAGCCATAAAGAATGAGAAACTAGAGACATTTATAGCTAAATGGATGCACATTGAGGCGATACTCTTAAGTGAAATAAATAGGACACACCATGTGTAAATACCAAATAATTTCTCTGGTGTGAAAAACTGAAAGTGTAAATAAGGATCAAAATGTATAGTAGATAATGTAAAATAGGAAGAAAAGGTCCAAAGATGTAGGGGAAGTGGGAGGGGTAGGGGAAAGGGAAGAAAGGAGAGGAATAAATGTGAGAAAAGGAAAAAATGGAAACAAAGTCTTTGTAAACAGGGAGGGGTGGAGGGATTGAAGGGAGGCAGGGGAATGGGGAAAAAATAAGAAACAAGATATATCATGTAAAAGTACAAATTCCCAATGATGAATGTCATCATATTGTATATCTAAAATGTACCAATAAACCTAATGAATAAAATATATATATACAGCTTTTCCCAGCTAGGTTTCCTTCTTAAAACCTTCCACGATCTAATCCTTTTGCAGAAGATGCACATTTTGGCAGTCATTATATCTCCCATATATTATACTATGTATCATAAGCCTGGAGGTTTTGACAAATCAAAGGTAAGGCAAAACCTTCAATACATTAACCCTGGTCAAAAAGCCTAGGTAACCAGATAATGATAAGCCCTCTAATAGTTACTTATTACCAAAGAAAACTACTAGTTATACTTGATCAGTCAGTAAGTCTAGAGAATCATGCTAATTCCTTTTCTCATAGGGGTCATTCAATAACCTTCCCAGTATTAGAATCCATTGACTTATTTCTCTCATCACAAGACAAAGCTTGCAATAAGAATTTTATCCAAATTCTTCTGAGAGCAGTTTTCCTTAAACTTTTGTCACTAGCTGTATTTCAAAATTCCAGACTATAAAAAATGTAAGAGAATCGAAAGAGAGAAAATAAATATATTAGTCTAGGCCACAACTGGGGCATACTGGGGTTCTTGAGAATTAATGAAGTGAA